AGTAGAATTACTGTATCAAAAGTTATGGGTATTTTCTTAGCTTATTGCATCCTGCAAAAATTGTTTTCCAAAAGAACTGTGCAAATTTATATTGCCTTGGTATTATAATCATCTTTATATTATTTATAATTTACAATACAATGTTTATACTTTTACATACCTATTTACAATATAAATATTTATAAATTAAATTTAAAATGTATAATATGTGTAAATGTTATAATAATTATGATTGGGGGAGGAGGGTGTTAATGTATTAGGTGAAATATGTATATTTCTTAATTGGTGATATTAAATATACTCCCTCTGCATTTTTAAAGTTTGTATTTCTTACCTTATAAATTGTCTCTTCATGTCATTTGCACATTTATCTGTGTGGCTACAATATGTTATATCCTACTGGTGGCTAAGGAGAGAATTATGGGAAAGTGTAAAATAGCTATTAAAAGCAAAACATTTTTACGCTTTTTTATTTAATATGATGCCATTTTGTTGAATGACTACTGATCGACCACATTTTAAGCAAGTGCAGCCGTCAGTGTTCTAAGTTTCATAAGAAGTACACTGGAAACTTGCTGCAACTCCTTCGCTGCGTCATAAAAGATCAGTTACCCTTGCTCACACCGACCTACTCTTTACGTCTTCACTTCTATGTGCCTGAAGAACAGAAACATGACCCTTTGGGGATGCCACCCTCTCCCCTACTGTTCTCTCCAACCTGAGGCAAACTTTCTCCTACTTCCTAGAGCTTCTCAGAGGTGGTGAGGTCAGCCTGCTCCTTGGAATCCAGAACTATGTATAGAATCTTGAACCCCCAAGATCTCTCAGGGTCTGCTTCTGTGAAGGTTTTGACCTCTGCTTCTTCTTTGGCCCTTTAGTAGTTGTCATTGTGCCTAGCACATCACAGGTGCTCAGTCTTCATTGAACTACATTGATACCATCCCCTGGAGAAGTCTCCTAAATGACCACCTTCGACCACTTTATATCCCAGAGGCTCATGCTGTCATTCTTCCTTTCAGTCTCGAATAAATTAGTCCCTTTACCCTGTCGTTGAGCCACAAAGGTTAGCAGTTTGAATCCACCAGTCGCTCCTTGGAAACCCTATGGGGCATTTCTAGTCTGTCCTATAGGGTTGCTATAAGTCGGAATCAACTCGATGGCAATGAGTTTGGTTTGGTTTAGTTTTTTTTTTTATCCTGTCACATGTCTCCTTTCCCCTCCCCTTACTTGTTCTGGACTACAACTTTTCTTATTTTCTGACAGATTTTTCTCTCACATTTCCTTCCTTTCGGTAGCTTTCATTTCACCCTCTCCTCTGTTTTGTCATACTCTGCCTGTAAAACATGCAAATATATGCCTATAGAAACAAAAGCAGATTTTATTCTACCTTGCTTTTCTTTCCAAAATGTACTGTAACTTCTTTTTATAGTCTAAATCCAAAAACTCTATCCACCCACTGATCCAACTCTTCATCATGAAGGTAGCATTGAGGAAGCAGCAAGGAGAGCATACATGCCACTCCCAGCTTCTCAAAAAGGTAAAAGTAGTGTTCCAGTTATGTACTGCTGACTTAAAATAGCAACCATTTCATTATACAGTAAAACCTGTGAAATCTGGAAACTGTGTAAGGCGGAAAACTGTCAGAGAAGGAAAACTCAAATATTTTCCACTAAATAGAGAGCAATAGAAAAGTTGTAAGGCTGAATCCTGTCAAAGGTGGAAAACTCGCAAGACCTGGAAAAACAAGGCAGACCTATCAAGTTCCAGCTCTCACTGTTTCTCATGATTTTATGGACCGGGTATTTGGACAGAGCTCAGCTGGGTGATTCTTCTGTTCCACTGACATTGATGGAGATTACTTGATGGTATTCAGCTGGCAGATGGACTTTATCTGGAGGATACAAGATGGCTTCACTCACATGTCTGGTGCCTTGGTGGGGAGGGTGGGAAGTGCCTACATGAGGCCTCTCTAGCATGACAGCCTCAGAGAGGTTGGACCTCTTATTTGATGGACCAGGGCTCCAAAATCAAGCGTTCCAGTGAACAAGACAAAAATTGCAAGAACTTTTATGCTATAGCCTCAAAAGCCACATACATCAGTTCTTTCATATTCTATTGGTCAAATCATTCACAAGTCTGCCCAAATGCAAGGAGAGGGGACATGGCTCCCCACCTTTTGACTGGAAGAGTGTCAAAGAATTTGAGGTCATACTTTAAAACTACCACATGTGGGTAGCTAAAGAACCACTGTTAAGGATTCAGGGGTAGGGCTGGGGTGAGGGTCAAGGATTAAATGTTGGTAGCAGAGCTTCACTAAAGTTGGCAAGGAATAATATCCGCCCCCATACATTTTAGTTATACTATACTTAATGTTCTTCACTAGTTTCTTCTTAGCTACCAGCTTCATAACTCCACTGTAGTTGTGCTTTCTAACATCACCAATAAATGTTATAGCCAAACCCAACAACTTTTCTTTATTTGGATCCTCTTGACATCTCTTCTGAGCTTGACACTGGTTTAAGAGCCAACCTCTTCTTCATCTTCAAATACCGTGGTTCTATGGCTGGATGCACTGCTGTTTCTTCTCCTACCTTTACCTTTGACAATCCCATTCCTCCCAGGCCCCAACTGTGGGTAATTCCATGGTTTGGCCCTTGACCCTGTTGCTCTAGTCTCATTGTACTCACTCCCATATAAAGTACACCCACCTTCATCACTTCCATATCGCCAATTCCTAAATACCCCCAGCTCTGATTTCTAACTGTCTTGGCATGTTCTATACAGTTTCCTGTGGTAGCTCATCCCCTCCAAATAATCCAAGACTTTAAAAGATGATCTCATTTTCTTGCCTCTAAAATTACCTCCCCCTTTCAACTGTCTCATGACAATCAGTTGGCATCATCACTGAGCCTGCTACCCAAGTTCTTAATTTTAGGATTATCTTTTAAAAATCTTGGACTCCACATCTAATCATTCAGAAAGCCATGTTGTCTATCAGATTAAATATGACATTTATGTGAGAGAACTTTACACTGTGTGAAGAACTATACAGACATGAAGTGTTGACAAGAATTCATAAGTAAGGTAGATTGTCAGGGTCTGCTCTCAGCTGGCCTCATTTGGATTCTGTGGCTTTATCTCTTACCAACTTCTTATCCTCTCTTTTCTTCTTCCTCATCACTCAATTTCCCAGTCAGTCAAGCCAACAGAACACATTCCCGTATATTAACCTTGCTTTTCCCAACATCTTTACTTTTAACACATTTCACTTAATTGCTTCATTTGCTCTTTATTTCAGTCGTATTTGCTAAGGAGAAAACTCGTCGTCTCTTCCTTTTCTTCTGTGTTTATTCAAGCCTACCCTACCTTCAACATTTGCCTCCTCAGGCAAGTCCCTCAAATCTGACCTCCCTCGGGAGTCTCTCAAGATGGGCTTCTTGCACAGTACACACAACCCTTGCTTATTGAGGATTTGGAAATTAATCTCTAGGAGCTTCAAGTCTTATTCCCCCTGCTCATGGAGATGACTCTGTGACTTCCATTGACTCTTGGGCTAAGTTCAGTGTTGGCTTCCAGCAAGTTCTAGATCCTGAATATGAATTCCAATAACACCCAAAGGCTCTTTGGTTTATGTGAAGTTCCTGGAAGTTGGGGGCCTGATGTTTTCCCCTTCCCTCTTTCACCTGTTCCCCACGACTTGCCACTATGTTTCTATAGGGTATTTTAAAACGTTTTCAAAAGAATAAATGCAGCCTCATAGTAAATCTTTTCGCAAAGATAGAAGTATGAGCAGCTCGCGACCCCCAGGTAAACTGACCTCCTCCACAACACACACACACATTCCAATGTTTTATCACTGCAGGTAAGCAGCAGGATTTCAGATCTCGGATAACTCTGAAGCCACATTTTACATGGGTGGAAACAAAAGCCCGAGTAAAGGTGACTTGCCCAGGGTCACAGAGTTGGTAAGGGGCAGAGTTGCATCTGGAGCCAAGAGCGACCTGCGATTGTCCTTCCCACTGCACCGCCTAAGAAATCTAATTAAAAGGAGCAAGTGATACCTCCGTTTGTAGAGCGCTTTAGTGGTTTACTATTTGACTTCCTCCTACAAAAATACATGATCAAACGAAAACACTTCATTTCTTTTAAAAGTTCGGAGTGCCTCTGCTTTCTGTCCAGGATTTTTCTGCGTCTGAATATGGTGGTTGGAATGAAATCGGGAGGATGAGAAGTTAAAAGGAGAGGAAAGGGGAGCAGAGAAAGCTGCGCGGTGCCCGCAAGGTTCGAGGGAGTCAGAGGAAAGAGAGCAGGAGCTCCCCACTCTCGCCTCTTCCAGAAAACTCTGGCTCGGCGGAATCTTTCATCAGGCTGTCTGCGATCGCGCTAGTTTCGGAGAGTCCCCTCCTGCCGCCTGCCCCAGCTAGGGCGCGCAGCCGAAGGTGATATACTAGGGAGGAACCACACGTCCCTGCGGCGCAGGGGATGCCCGCCGCGGCGCATCCTTCCTCTGATTTGCCGAGCGCAGGGCGCAGACGGCTAGATGCGGGGCGATGACTTTCGGGCTGAAGGGTGGCCCCTGAGATGCTGAGAGAGGAAGGAGGGTGGGAGGGACCCAGCGCCCCAGGGCACGCCCCTGCCAGGTCCTTTTCCCAGCTCTTCCGAGACCTCCCGCGGTCCAGCCCCGGAGCAGCCAGGCTATATAAGTCACCTGCCCGGAGCAGGGGCACAAGGTGCTTGCCAGCCCTGGGCGCAGTGGGTCCTCCTGGCACGAGGGTGGGTAGGAGGGAGACGTGGCCAGAATCGGCCCCACTACCGCGCTCGGCGGGCAGCCGACTGCGCGCGCACCTCCAAGGTGGGTAGCCACCACGTTGTGCACCGTCCCAGGACGAGTTTGCTGTCCCACCAGACTCCAGGCCCACAGGAGGGGAAGAAACTTCCACCTTCAGGGCTGAAGCCTTTCTCCTGTTGCACCAGCGCCTGCCTCCGCTTCCTGAGTGAAGATGGTGGGCCAGACTACCTGGGATGTGCCCCCGACCATGGGCGTCAAGATCGTCTCAGCTGGAGTGTCGGCCTGTTTGGCGGATGTGATCACCTTCCCACTGGACACGGCCAAGGTTCGGCTACAGGTAGGGAGTCAGGTGGGGTCTCAGGATACGGAGGGTACACCATTTGTGTGGGCCCCTTTGATGCCTGGCTTTGGTATACTGGCCATTTCTGTTAGGTAGGCAAGTGGCTACTTTATTTGGCCTTGTCACAGAAACGGATGCTTTCAGGGGGAAAATTGGAACTTTTCCTGGGATTAACAGAAGAACTGCAATAGTCACAGACAATGGGTTGACTGCTACACCTCTAAAAAGTTAGGGTGCATTAAATGTGCTAAGAGATGAGAATATCAGCCTCTCCTTAGTCTACAAGCCAGGCCCTCTTCCCTCTTCTTTGATTCTGCAGGGACACGTTCCCAACCTACTAACTTAGGGGTCCTGACGAGTTTGTGGAGGGGATGTTCAAAGTTTGCTTTGTAGCCAGCCTATAACTACAAACATGAGAGTGTATGGGGGTGGAGGGGGGGAAGGGGAGGCATTGGTAAGGATGAAAAAGAACTTAAAATATGAACATGGTGAAAAAAAATGTTGGATTAAAGTTTCTTCACTAAGGACAGCTTGATGCCAGTCTGTTCCCCTACAAGGTACCAGTACCAATTGCCATTGAGTCTACTCCAACTCACGGCAACCTCACGTGTGTCAGAGTAGAACTGTGATCCACAGGGTTTTCACTGGCTGATTTTTCAGAAGTAGATCACGAAGCCTTTCTTCTGGGGTGCCCCTGGGTGGATTCGAACCTCCAACCTTTGGGTTAGCAGCTGAGCATGTTAACCATCTGTACCACCCACAGATTCCACTTCAGGAGTAGGATCCCCTTTCTCAATTTTCACTTCCCTGGGACCTGTACTTTTTCCATTTCCAGATCCAAGGTGAATGCCAGACCTCCAGTGCCATTAGGTATAAAGTTGTCTTGGGAACAATCACCACTCTGGCAAAAACAGAAGGGCCAATGAAACGCTATAGTGGGCTGCCTGCTGGCTTTCAGAGACAAATAAGCTTTGCCTCTCTTAGGATTGGCCTCTATGATACTGTCCAGGAGTATTTCACTGCAGGGAAAGAAAGTAAGCAACAAGTGTTCCCAGGAGGGGCAGAGAGTTGGGGAGACAGACCTTGATCATGGCTTTGTTAAAAAATGTTAACACACAGGGTAGTGCTCTTCACAACACATTGGCAAGTAAACAGTAATATTTGAAGTTTTTCCCCAGAATATTAGCTTGGTACTTATTGTTTATAGAAAGTACAAAATGGATTTTTTCAGATGCAGGTTTATTTTTGTAAAAATCACCCAGTCAGTCATTGAATTAGTTTGGAAACATTAGTTTAACTCAAAGTTCCCCGAATAATGATGTGCATCAGAAACACCTAGGGACTTGTTAAAAAACCAAATGCTGAGACTATCTCAGGCCTGCTGAGTGAGAATCTCTCAGGATGGGGCTCACAGAATCTGTGTTTTAACAAACTTCTCCAGTAATGTTGGTATAAGGAGCCCTGGTGGCACAATGGTTAAGGGGTTGGCTGCTAACCGAAAGGTCTGCAGTTCAAACCCATCAACCGCTCTGCAGGAGAAAAGACCGGGCAATCTGCTCCATAAAAATTATTGCTGTTGTTAGGTGCCGTCTAGTCAATTCCTGATCATCGCGACCCTGTGTACAACGGAATGAAACACTGCCTAGTCCTGCACCATCCTTAAAATCCTTGCTATGTTTGAGCCCACTGTTGTTGCCACTGTGTCAATCCATCTCATTGAGGGTCTTCATTTTTCTCCGACCCTCTACTTTATCAAGCATGATGTCCTTCTCCAGGGACTGGTCCCTCCTGATAACATGTCCAAAGCATGTAAGATAAAGTCTTGCCATCCTCCCTTCTAAGGAGCATTCAGGCTGTAAAGATTACAGCGTAGGAAACCCTATGGGGCAGTTCTACTCTGTCATATAGAACTGCTATGAGTTGGAATTGTCTTGACAGCACACAACAATAATTTTGGTACGCAATGAAGTTTGAAAACCTTTGGTTTTAAGAGCAGAAAACCAGTCCTTGTGAGGAGAGTTGAAAGAGCAGGAAATAATTTCCTTTAAGATGTTCCTTATAAAGTCTCTAATGTTGAGAAAGACCAGAGCAGAAAAGTAGACTTAAGTTACAATGAGTTTGGTTAGAGGAAGAAGAAAAAGAAACTAATATTTCTTGAGCCTCTTGGTGTACACATACCAAGAGTCCTGTCAGTTTAAAAAAAAACCAGTTGCCAGTCAACTCTGACTCATGGAGACTCCATGCATGTCAGAGTAGAACTGTGTTCTATAGGATTTTCAGCAGCTGATTTTTCAGAAGCAGATTGCCAGGACTTTCTTCCAAGGCAGCTCTGGGTGGACCCAAATCGCAAAGCATGTTTAATCTAGCCTTGGAGGCATGGTCATGGGAGTTGATGTTCAAACTGATTCTTCAAGGACCAGTAGGGGTAATCTAGGTGAAGTGGAAAAAAAAGATTTTCAAAGTAGATTGAAGGCCATGTACAAAGACTCAGACAGGAGTGGAGAGAACACATAGGACATAGTGGGAGGACATGCTGGTGAGGAGAGAGAAAGCCAGAAAGGCAGGAAGGAGCCAGCTTACAAAAGTCTTTGCAGGCCATGCTTAGGAGTTTGGATTTTATCCTTAAAGTGATGGGAAGTCATTGAAAATTTTTAAGTAGAGGAGTAGCATAAGAAAATTGACATTTCCAAAAGATTGCTTTGGTGGCAGTATAGAAGATATATAAAAAAGGAATAAGAAAGGGGTAGATTCAAAGGCAAGAGATGATCCAGGAATGACCTAAAGCAATGGCAAAAGGCAAGGAAAAGGGAGATCAGTGGAATGATTTGGGAATTATAATTCACTGACTGTGGTGAACAACCAGAAGTAAGGAGTAAGGAAAAGATAGGCATGTACAATGACTTCTAAGTTTCTGAGTAAAGATGCCATTCGCTGGGGGAGAGAATATAGAAATCGCGTTAGGCGGTGGTAGGCACAGGTGCATGAGTTTAAGTAAGAGAAAGCTCTGGGCTAGATTCCAGGGATTGGCAGGGAGTATCAGTAAGGTCAAACAGAGCAGAGAGATCTAGTGTGAAAGAAGTGAAAGTGATCATTGGACCTAACACACAGAAGCTCATGGAAGCAAAAACAACCTCAATAGAGTGGTGGGGGTGGAAGCCAAATTACAATGGGTTGAGGAGGGAATGGGTCATGAGATGTGAAGACAAAGAATAGAGCCATTCTCCCAAGGAGCTTGACTGGGAAAGGAAGAGGTGATTGGAAGGCCAAGAAAGGGTTGGAGATTGGGGGAAAGCTTGAGTGCATCAAGATAAGATTATGTGGGCCAAAAATGCAGGGAATTGTAGTTATATGATCTTGATAATTAAAAGATGGCTATCTATTCTATGCCCAGTTCCTTGAAAGCATGATTAGAGTAAAATCATACTACTCATGAAAAGAATTACTGCAATTTTATGTACTTTTATGTGCCAGACTAAGTGCTTTATAGATATTATTTTGCTTAAATCCCACAACTCTATAAGGAAGATGTTATTATTCCTATTTTGCAGATGAGAAAACAGGATTAGAGAAGCTAAGTCCTTGATGAGTAAATGTTATTGAACCATAACTTTAATTATAGGAACTTGGCTTCACTTTGAATGTCATTGTGTGGATAATTTTAAATTTATATATTTGTATAAATATTTATAAATGATTCCATAAAGTTATGTTATATAAAGGTTACTCAAAGCAGAAATGATTAAATCTGCCAAGGTAGTCAGTTAGGATACTCATTTTACCCTCCGCATATCTCCTACTTTCTGGCTGGTCGCTGTACATGAAAGAGTTTCTGATGTTTACTAGCTGTGTGATCTTGTGCATGTGACTCACTTCCTCTGCTTTTCAGTTTTCCATCAGAAATGAGGATAACAATTTCTACCTCCACAGCATTACGTACTATCTTTTTAAGATGGGATATCATAAACTAATTTATGAATTTACTCAATAAGGATTACACTAGAGGTCAAACAATGAAATGCTATAGTCCTTTAAAATTATAAATTCTAATTGTAAATGGTTCCAAGACTATTTGTAGTTTTATTAAATATCTGTCTAGAGTGACATAAGCCGATTTTTCAAAATTTCAAGTCAAAAATCGCTTTCTTGGTTTCTTCTTATTTTTGACTCTTTGGGAGCAGTTTGTCCACTTGGGCTTTTCTTAAGACCACTAGGTCCAATAATTGACATTATCATTGATCAAGAATTATGGGTGACAGGAGCCTCCTCCCAGTTGGGAAATATTGCAAAACAGAACTAAAAAGAGGAAAGAACCAAACCACTGTTTAGATGGGTATTATGTTTTCTTTTGCCCTGAAAGGCTCCCTTTTTTTTTTTTTTTTTTCATTTCTGTCAGCTTTGAAGTTTTCTACCCTTACTATGGTTTAGTGCATGATCCCCACGTGGACAAGCCTCAGGGAAGTAGAAGAAATGGAGGGGTACTGATGTACTAACCATTAAAAATTAAAAAGGCAAATGGTAGCACTTCAGATGTTGATTTTTTTGTTTTTTTTTTTAAGCTTAATAAATATTCCTCCCCTCCCCACCCCGGATAGCACCGGCTAGTTTAGGAAGCAAGATCTCTGCTGGCTTAACGACTGGAGGAGTGGCGGTATTCATTGGGCAACCCACAGAGGTCGTGCAGGTCAGACATCAAGTGCAGAGCCATCTATGTGGTCTCAAACTGCGCTACACTGGGACTTACAATGCTTACAGAATCATAGCAACAACAGAACGCTTGACAGGTCTTTGAAAAGGTAACTAACTTCAAAGCAGATTTTATAATCAATCACTAAAGGACACCTTTCCAGTTAGCACCTGATCATATAAAGGAGTTATTAAACATTTTCTTTTTCCAGGGATTACTCCCAATCTGACAAGAAATGTCATCATCATTTGTACAGAGCTAGTAACACATGACCTAATGAAGGAGACCTTTGTGAAAAACAATCTACTGGCAGGTAACTTCCTATTTTATGCAACAAACAGGTCTGCACATTTATGATTTATCTTGGAGCTTCTCTAGGCACATCAGACTGAATCCCTTAATTCTAATAGTTTTCTCTTTAAAAAAAAAAAGTAATTTTACACATTAAATATGATTTTTTGAGAAGCAGAAAAAGAGCAAAACCCTAAGTTTTGGGAATTTTTGCTATAACAAAACTACCACTGTGTTCTTGCATCAGCATTATTCTCATTTCATACCAATATATGGGACTTCTGTTACAATCTTATTCTTTATACAGCAGAAGTCAGTAGGCGAGTCCATCGTGCACTGTATAGAAGAGCTCATTATATAAGGAGCTCATCAGTGGTTTCATCCAAAAAATAGTACAGGCATACCTCGGAGATATTGCGGGTTTGGTTCCAGACCGCTGCAATAACGCGAATATCTCAATAAAGCGAGTGTCTTAGTTATCTAGTGCTGCTATAACAGAAATACCTCAAGTGGATGGCTTTAACAAAGAGAAATGTATTCTTTCACAGTCTAGGAGGCTAGAAGTCCGAATTCAAGGTGCCAGCTGCAGGGAAAGGCTTTCTCTCTGTAGGCTCTAGGGGAAGGTCCTTATCATTAATCTTCCCCAGTCGGGGAGGAGCTTCTCGGTGCAGGGATCCCAGGTCCAAAGGATGCGCTATTCTCCTGGCTCTTGTATGAGGCCCCACTGTCTCTCTGCTGGCTTCTCTCTTTTATATCTCAAAAGAGATTGATTTAAGACACAATCTAATCTTGTAGATTGAGTCTTGCCTCATTAACATAACTTCCTCTAATTCTGCCTCATTGACATCATAGAGGCAGGAATTACAATACATAGGAAAATCACATCAGATGACAAAATGGTGGACAATCACACGATACTGGGAATCATGGCCTAGCCAAGTTGAATATTTTTGGGGGATACAATTCAATACATAACAGGGAGTCTCATGAATTTTTTTGGTTTCCCATTGCATATAAAAGTTCTGTTTATACTATATTGTAGTCTATTAAGTGTGCAATAGAATTATGTCTAAAAACAAATGTACATACCTTACTTTAAAAATACTTTATTGCTAAAAAATGCTAACCATCATCTGAGCCTTCAGCGAGTCATAATCTTTTTGCTGGTGGAGGGTCTTGCCTCCATGTTGATGGCTGCTGATCGGGGTGGTGGTTGCTAAAGGTTGGGTTGGCTGTGGCAATTTCTTAAAATAACACAACGATGAAGTCTTCCCTTCACAAAAGATTTCTCTGTAGCATGCGATTCTGTTTGATAGCATTTTACCCACAGTAGAACTTCTTTCAAAATTGGAGTCAGTCTTCTCAAACCCTGCCCCTGCTTTATCAACTAAGTTTATGTAATATTCTAAACCCTTTGTTTGTCATTTCAACAATGTTCATAGTGTCTTTGCCAGGAGTAGATTCTATTTCAAGAAACCACTTTCTTTGCTCATCCATAAGAAGCAACTCCTCACCTGTTAAAGTTTTATCATGAGATTGCAGCAATTCAGTCACGTCTTCAGGCTCCACTTCAAATTCTCTTGCTATTTCCACCACATTTGCAGTTACTTCCTCCACTGAAGTCTTGAACCATGAGGGTTAGAATCAACTTCTTCCAAACTACTGTTGATATTGATATTTTGAGCTCCCATGAGTCACGAATGTTCTTAAGGGCATCTAGAATGGTGGATCCTTTCTGGAAGGTTTTCAATTTATTTTGCCCAGATCTGTCAGAGGAATTACCATTTATGGCAGCTATAGCCTTACAAAATGTATTTCTTAAAAAACAAGACTTGGACTTCCGGCAAGATGGCGCTCTAGGCAGAAACACCACGCCGTCCCTCCACAACAAAGATCCGAAAAACTAAGCCAAACAGAGAATCAACAATCCTGAAACCCTAGAACATCAAATGAAGAGATAAAGAAC